CATCGATAAGTTACTAATTTATTACTAGTTCATTACCACATTCGCAGATTTCTAACACTTCATTCAACAGGAGAAACCAACGGCTCTGCTAGCTTGCTGTCAACCTAGCAGAGCCGTAGCTAAACAATTATTATTTTGAAAACCTCAGATATACCATAATTTATTACTATTTTATTACTAACTTATAACTATAATCACGAATTGTTTACTCATCATTTCAAGGAGAAAAACGACGAGTTGTCTATCTCGAACTCAACCTAGCAAAACCAAAACTCAAATCACATGCTTTTTGAAATTCTGTTGTATCATCGATAAGTTACTAATTTATTACCAATTTATTACCACATTCGCAGATTTCTAACACTTCATTCAACAGGGTGAACCAACGGCTCTGCTAGCTTGCTGTCAACCTAGCAGAGTCATAGCTTAACAATTATTATTTTGAAAACTCCAAATATTCCATAATTTATTACTATTTTATTACTAACTTATAACTATAATCATGAGTTTTTTACTCATCATTTCAAGGGAAAAACGACGATTTGACTATCTAGATCTTAACCTAGCAGAACCAAAACTCAAATCACATGTTCAAATTAAATTAAATAAATAAATTAGGTTTTTCAGAACGAATGTGTATCATTTGAGAGTGAATAATTAGCAACTATTATTCGATTGATACAAATTGAGTTATTCTTGAATATCAAAAACCACTTTCATTCTAATTTTCGATTTTTGAGTGAACAGTGAACGTTACCGAACGTCCCGTGTAAGAGCGCTGGAAATGCAATCGCCCCCGTATAACCGTCAAGCGCGTCTTCGTCGACCGCTACATGCCGCTACCGTTTGTTTTCCCGAGGATTTCCGGGAAAAGCAAAAGACGTAATGTTCGAGCGTACCGACAAACGGATCCCAGTATATAAGTGAACTATCTCCTAACAAAGTTGAGAGAATCTGTGCTTATATACTGGGATCCGTTTGTCGGTACGCTCGAACATTACGTTTTTTGCTTTTCCCGGAAATCTTCGGGAAAACAAACGGTAGCGGCATGTAGCGGTCGACGAAGACGCGCTTGACGGTTATACGGGGGCGATTGCATTTCTAGCGCCTTTACACGGGACGTTCGGTAACGTTCACTGTTCACTCAAAAATCGAAAATTAGAATGAAAGTGGTTTTTGATATTTAAGAATAACTCAATTTGTATCAATCGAATAATAGTTGCTGATGATTCACTCTCAAATGATACACATTCGTTCTGAAAAACGTAATTTATTTATTTAATTCAATGTGAACATGTGATTTGAGTTTTGGTTCTGCTAGGTTGAGATCTAGATAGTCAAATCGTCGTTTTTTCCCTTGAAATGATGAGTAAAAAACTCATGATCATAGTTATAAGTTAGTAATAAAATAGTAATAAATTATGGAATATTTGGAGTTTTCAAAATAATAATTGTTTAGCTATGGCTCTGCTAGGTTGACAGCAAGCTAGCAGAGCCGTTGGTTTCTCCTGTTGAATGAAGTGTTAGAAATCTGCGAATGTGGTAATAAACTTGTAATAAATTAGTAACTTATCGATGATACAACAGAATTTCGAAAAGCATGTGATTTGAGTTTTGCTTTTGCTAGGTTGAGTTCGAGATAGACAAATCGTCGTTTTTTTCCTTGAAATGATGAGTAAACAATTCGTGATTATAGTTATAAGTTAGTAATAAAATAGTAATAAATTTTGGTATATTTGAAGTTTTCAAAATAATAATTGTTTAGTTATGGCTCTGCTAGGTTGACAGCAAGCTAGCAGAGCCGTTGGTTTTCCCTGTTGAATGAAGTGTTAGAAATCTGCGAATGTGGTAATAAATTAGTAATAAATTAGTAACTCATCGATGATACAACAGAATTTCAAAAAGCATGTGATTTGAGTTTTTATTCTGCTAGGTTGAGATCGAGATAGACAAATCGTCGTTTTTTTCCTCGAAATGATGGGTAAAAAATTCGTGATTATAGTTATATGTTAGTAATAAAATAGTTATAAATCCTGGTATATTTAAAATTTTCGAAATATCAAATTTTCAGCTATGGTTCCGCTAGGTTGACATAAAGCTAGCAGAGCCGTTGGTTTTCCCTGTTGATTGAAGTGTTAGAAATCTGCGAATGTGGTAATAAATTAGTAATAAATTAGTAACTTATCGATGATACAACAGAATTTCAAAAAGCATGTGATTTGAGTTTTGGTTTTGCTAGGTTGAGTTCGAGATAGACAAATCGTCGTTTTTTTTTTCTTGAAATGATGAGTAAACAATTCGTGATTATAGTTATAAGTTCGTAATAAAATAGTAATAAATTATGGTATATTTGAAGTTTTCAAAATAATAATTGTTTAGCTATGGCTCTGCTAGGTTGACAGCAAGCTAGCAGAGCCGTTGGTTTCTCCTGTTGAATGAAGTGTTAAAAATCTGCGAATGTGGTAATAAACTAGTAATAAATTAGTAACTTATCGATGATACAACAGAATTTCAAAAAGCATTTGATTTGAGTTTTGGTTTTGCTAGGTTGAGTTCGAGATAGACAAATCGTCGTTTTTTTCCTTGAAATGATGAGTAAATAATTTGTGATTATAGTTTCAAGTTAGTAATAAAATAGTAATGAATTATGGTATATTTGAAGTTTTCCAAATAATAATTGTTTAGCTATGGCTCTGCTAGGTTGACAGCAAGCTAGCAGAGCCGTTGGTTTTCCCTGTTGAATGAAGTGTTAGAGATCTGCGAATGTGGTAATAAATTAGTAATAAATTAGTAACTTATCGATGATACAACAGAATTTCAAAAAACATGTGATTTGAGTTTTGGTTCTGCTAGGTTGAGATCGAGATAGACAAATCGTCGATTTTTTCCTTGAAATGATGGGTAAAGAATTCGTGATTATAGTTATAAGTTAGTAATAAAATAGTTATAAATTATGGTATATTTAAAATTCTCAAAATATCAAAAATTCAGATATGGTTCTGCTAGGTTGACGTAAAGCTAGCAGAGCCGTTGGTTTTTTCTGTTTAATGAAGGGTAATAAATTTGCGAATATGGTAATAAATTAGTAATAAATTAGTAACAAATTATAGTACTATTGCAAATCCGAAATATTGAAGTGGTTCTGCTAAGTTTATTGGGGTAAAATATTGAGTCGAATTTTTTCGAAAATGTATTTCTTCCGGAAAATAATTGTAATGAAAAAAAAAGAATATAGTCTCAAAACTTCTCAAGAAATGACCATTTTTCGCAAACAGAGATCGTAAATGCATAATGCCCCTCATTTTCAAACACCCAAGAATGATAATAATTATACCCGAATCCTAACAGTTTTATTTATCCAGGTTTCTGTAGTTGTCCTGTTTATAAATCTGTTCAATACATGAATCTTCAGAAGGCATATTGGCCAATGGACTAAGGTGCGTGCCTGATAAGCTGAAGGTCCCGGGTTCAATCCCAACTATAGACCTACATTTTTTTTTCTTTTGTCGAAGGGATGTCCCTGGGATATCCTTGGGACGTCCTAGGGATATCCCTTCTTTGTACTCGGTACATCCCAGGGACGTACCAGGAGGGACATCCCTTGGATGTCCTTTTTGTCTGAAAGCGGATGTCCCTGGGACGTCCTTAGTATGTACTTTGTCCCAGAAAAGATATCCCTGGGATGTCCTTATTTGAAATTAGGGACGTCCCTGGGAAGTCCCTAGGATGTACTCGTGTTGTTAGGGATGTTATTATAGATCATTGAACTCGTCTTTCTGAGTTCTATGCAAATATGGAATAAAATATGGGGTGTTCCATTTGAGAATCTCGAGATAATTATTGGTTTTCAAAATACGTCACCACTTTTGACAAATTCAAAATTCCCAAATGTTCACCACAGAACATGATAATATACAGACTCTTTTAATTTATAGCAAAAGTTGCGAATCGAAAACTTCATTCACAACGTTTCTATAGGGCTTTGAAATTAGACAATTTATTGAAGAAGATCGTGTATAAATCCGAAACGGGTGATCTCAGACCCATGTTATTACATATCATTTAACTTGTCTTCTGGAGGACTATCTAAAAATATGATAAAATATAGGGTGTTCCATTCGAAAAAACGTATTTGTGATATGTTACAGACATATGGATCATCCTGTATAAATGACAGTATCTAAAAATTAAATTTCATAAGAAGTTATACAATTTTTATTCTGAACTTTTTTCTGTATATATAATAGTTTACCAGATAAGGGGGTGGCCCAAGTTATGTGGGATACCCTGTACATTTTTCGGTTTCAAAATCAGCGTCTATTCATTTTGTTTAGGTGTACACAAAGAATTATGTTTTTTCTTCAGAACATCAGAATAACTTTTTACTTCCATACCGTTGAAATTTTCGACTTTTCTTTTTATTTGATTCAAAGATTCCATAATATTATTCGTATCATTAATATTAGACACTCTCAAGTTGTAATTTTCATTTATTCTCTCATTTACTTCAGCTAAAAGTTTGATATGATTATCTTTCTCGAAGATTATCAAATCCTTCTGTCTAATGATTTCTTTCAAATATGATATTTTTTCTTCATAATCCCTCATCTTACTTTCTGTGTTAAATTTAGATTCATAGTTTACCTGCGTATAATGTATATTGGAATGTTCTTCAATTGAATCAAATAAATCACTTCGAGAAATACTTTTTCCATCACTATGTATGGAACGCTCCTCTTCTGATTGTAGCATATCAGCTCTTAAAGAGATGTCTCCACTTCCACATTCCTTCTCCTTGCACTCATTTACATTTTTCTTTTTTCTTCTCATTTATTGTATAATTTGGAATAGGTTAACAATTTTCTATAAAAACTGATTTGTCGATAGAGCACATCTTTGAAATTCGTTTGCTAAGTATTCTCAAGAACTAATAACCTTTATAAGTTCGAAAAAAATCCAATCCAATACATGTTGGGCTGTAATTCAAATGAACAAAGTTTGTGGATAACTTTTATTCAACACTTCAATATACATCATTGCTGATTTATTAATTCCAGTTGAGCAGCTGTAACACTTTTCATACCTTCTTGAACCGAGCTCAAGTTGCCTCTCCAAGAGTGGAGCAAATCTCGTAGCTGTTGCCATTGTGCTCTACCGAATGTTCTATGCATTGTACTCGACACATATATTTTTTTGGCTGATTGATCCATTCGGGCACGTACTAATTTTGTTTTCAATACTGAAAGAATAAATAGATAAACATATTTATGGTTTCATGAAGTAGGAACAGGATAGAGTTTGAGATAGTTGACATCATAAGGGGAAAACTTGTAATAATGATTTATTTTGAAATTCGACTTAATCGTTGAATTTTGTTTGAAGAAAATGTCACGAGACTAGGTATCGCTAAACATCAAATTTAATTTTCTCAAATTTATTGCTGAAAACAGGTTAATTTGTTTGAATTTCAAGAACGTTTAATGAGAAAATTTGTTTCTATTCCGATTCTACAAATGTCTCAGAATTCTTGAATGTCAAAGACGTTTCATAGATGGGCCAGTAGCAAGTAATTGGATGTTAGTAACATGACGAAGCTACTGTATTGAAATGGAATATTCTCGGATATATAATGAACATGAAAAACTAGTACTTTGATGTTCATGTAGAAAATAAATGTAAGAAATCACATCTTCAACAATTCGAAGTGCCATCGGCATGCTGGTTGAAAAGGGTAGTATATCGATTGGTGGGTGCATAGGGATTAACAAACTCAATTTTGTTTTCAGTTCGTAAGGGGTGTGGGGGAAGGTGGGAGTTAGTCCAAGGGTTCTATGTAGACCATGATATGCCCTGATGGCTGTGATACTTTCTGTAAGAGGGCTATTTGCTATATAATTTGAAAATTTATAAGCTGTTCACATGATATGATCTCTTATCATAGGCAAATCATGGCATTGTGAATGCTTGTCCTCCACTCGGGAATATCGGTTGCAGTATTTGTAGCCTACCCATATGAGTAGAAATACTGCAGAACACTGGACAGGCGTATGTGAATATTGGTTGGATGATCTGTTTGTGAATTAGGGGCTTATTATTCATTGTTAGCGCGGAATTCCTTGCAGTGGATACAGCTTCCTGATTGAAGCTTGCAAGCATATAAAATGTACACGTATTTCTAATCATGAATAGTATATCATTTATTTAAGTTCTCAAGCAGTACGCCTTAATGAAATGAATTAGTTACATCAACTTTCCATTTATATTTACCTTCGTCATTAGGTTCAGGTTGTTGAGAGCCTAGCGATGAATATATGTATGCGTCCTTTTTCTAGGACTTTGGATTTTTTCGGAACATATCACACTCTTTGTCTCTTAATGAACATAATCAATTTATTGTATTTACTTATGTAGATTTTTTTTCACCATTAGAGTTGATTTAGGCATCGAATATTTCGGCCACAAACTTGCTATGAGACCTCTTTCTGACATTGTGCTGAAAAAAGCCAATAGTGCTGTTTCCGAATAACGTTATATTTTCTTCTCGTTACACCAGGAATCAAATGCTGAATGAGTTTTCTCATAAATATGTAGGTATGTTTTTTTTTCCTGGTAATTAACCCAAAGAAGCCACTTTATCAGTTTCTGCTAAATCTGAGGGTGTCAAAGCAAACATTTTCATTCATATCCATTTTTCTTTAACAACTCAACTCATATACATTTGACAGCGCGAAATACTTTGGAAAAAGATTTGAATTCGTGTAATCGTGTATGTTTGGTTGCCTATATTGAAAATCAAGCATTGATAGACAAATTGTCCATTAATAGGGGTCATTAATGATAAATTTCATAAACATCAAATGAACTCATTAATACGAGGTCGACGAAAAAGTACATTATTCAAAAATATAAAGCGTTCTTGACAAAATTGAACTTGCAATTTGAAGCCTACATTAGTCTGGATTACAATGAAATTCGAATTATACAAAGCAGCAAAAGTGCTGGTCTTAGAAAAGTATTCACACATAATACATTTGCCTTTCCATCTCGGTTTACATATTTAAATTCAATAGCACGAACAAAGCTGAAAACAAAATTCAAAATAATTAATTTCTAACCTAGAGCAGTAAATATGGTCGTATTTATATAATAATATATTATATATATCTAATTTTCCTTTTGAATACATTTATATTCGCAATTTCCGTTATGTCCCTTGGTAATTATAGGCTTCTATCACCATGGGTGATATTTTATTTTCTATTGTATTCGATGTGTTCATTCCAATTCAGTTTGTCGTCCAATATAAGTCCAAGATATTTTGCCTTAACAACTCTCAATTATTTCTCCTCCTATCTCTATTGTGTTGTTGTTTTTGAACTTTTTTTGTAAAAATCATATACTTGTACTGTTTTGTTTGTATTAAATGGAAGTCTATTTTTTATCAGCTCTTTATAAGCTGTTAATTGTAACAGGGTTATATCTCTGCCTTTATAAATCAAGTATACAGTACCATCAGCAAATTTGAAATACCTACCTTGAAGCTCAGCAGTTCTCAATGATAGGGCATCTAAGGTATATAAAAAGAGGTCCCAAAACTGTACCCTGTGGTACTCCTGATTTCGTCTAATCAGTTTGGCTAGAAATTTCATTCATCATTGTGAATTGTTGTCTGTTTAGGAGGTATGATTTTATGAGAGATCGAAATACGTCTGGCAACGCTGTAGGTCGTTTATTTCGATTGTGGAAACATAAGACTAAATATCTGGAACAAGTGAAATTCAAAAGTTCTAAGTGTGTCTGAAGTGAATACCCATCTGGTCTGGACTGCTCGAAATGAGAAGGCAAAAAGACGTGATAAATCAAATAATTCCACGTGCCTCGTGGAGGTCAAACCACCGCCACAAGAAAACGTTGCCATGTTTAAAAAACAGAAGACAGCCACCTATAAAACCAACAGCATGGCGGGAAACAAACACGTATGTGGAAGCTGTCACGAAAATTTTACAAAAAGACAACACATTCTGTTTTTGAATCTGCGTTTGAATTAACTCGGCCGTTACTTGATGGAAATCCATGGCAATTGTAAAAACTTCACAAACGATAAGATTTACACAAAATTCTCAAACACACGACATGTTTCGCTAACACAGTAGCTTCGTCAGGTGATATACTGATACAATGAACTGAACTAACGTTGCTTGCTTGACTTTTATATATCCTACTTTCCCAACCTGAAGGATTAGTTTCCTGTGGACAGGTACGATAAACCTCCATTTTCGGAAATTAGGCACAATATCTACATTAAAATACGGTATACCGGATTAACTTGAAAGAGTTGATAGCAAATACATATCATTACTTACTGAGAAAACAAATTCAACAGTGGTGAACTATTGAGGTCTAATTGATCATTAAGTAAAATCTCGAAATTTTTGAGTTTGTTGATTTCTAATGATTCAAAATGATTGAGTTTCAGTCCTGTAGAATTTCGAAATTATCATCAAAACTATGGTTTTCATTTAATATATGGTTGGCGTATGTTGAATTTGTTTTCTTTTTCATAAAATGCATCTTATGTTCATGAATGCGCTGATTAAACGTACGACCTGTCTGACCGATATATACCTTAGGACAAGATCCACACTTGAGTTTGTATACCCCTTATTTTTCGAATTTGGAAGTTTTGTCTTTATTTTTCTTGATAAACCGTCCCAACGTGTTATTTGTTCTATATGTCACTTTAAAGTTCTGTTTATGTAGAAATGAAGCTAATTTCTCAGTTGATGATCCGAAATAGGTTGAAGTTCTATAATTTTGATTATTATTTTCGATGGTAGAATAAACGTCTTGAATAGCTTTATGATGAATTTTTTTAGAAAGAATACTGTCTATCAAATTAACGTTGTATCCGTTGTTGACTGCAATATGTTTTATGATATTGAGTTCTTCATTGAAATTTACTTCCGAAAGAGGGACATTCACTAGCCTGTGTATCATACTATTATATGATGCAATTTTATGTTGATAAGGGTGTGTTGAATTATTATGAATAGTGATATCAGTGAGGGAAGGTTTATGGAAAATTGAAAAATCATGTTTATCGTTAATTTTACTTATTGTCAAATCTAAGAAATTGATTGAATTTTCTGTCTCTATTTCTATTGTGAATTTTATGTTTGGATGAATAGTATTTATATATTGATGTAAAATGTCTAATTGTCTATTGGTTCCTTTAAAGCATACTATAACGTCATCTACGTATCTATACCAATACCAACATTGTTTTATAATTGAATGTTTATGTATTATTCGCTCCAGGTTGTCCATGAAGATTTCAGCAAGTAAAGGGCTCAGTGGATTTCCCATAATCAACCCTTTTGACGCAGAATATATTTTGTTGTCAAAACGAGAGTAATTTTGTTTGAGACATATCGACAGAAAGTCTAGGATCTCTTGTTTGATAATCGGATTAACATGGTTTTTATCTAATAACTGCTCAACAAAAAGTATGGTATCTTCGGGAGGTAAACTTGGAAAAAGGTTTTGTACATCAACCTTCTGTCGATATGTCTCAGACAAAATTACTTTCAATTAGACAACAAAATATATTTCGCGTCAAAAGGGTTGATTATGGGAAATCCACTGAGCCCTTTACTTGCTGAAATCTTCATGGACAACCTGGAGCGAATAACACATAAACATTCATTAATAAAACAATGTTTGTATTGGTATATAGATATGTAGATGACGTTATAGTATGCTTTAAAAGAACCAATAGACAATTAGACACTTTCCATCAATATACAGGGTGTCCGGAGATAAAATCGACAAAACTTATGGGGTTATAGGGACTGTTGATATGATTGCCAAATGCCATAAACAAATGCACAGAACCGCTTTGTTACTGACATACAGAGTGATTTGTGGATTTTGACAAAAAAATCAATCCGCCATATCAAATACAGGGATCAACCGGTTAGATTCAAATTTGGTACATGAATAAAACTGAGAGGCATCAACAAGTAGCCCTTTGATAGAAATCAATATCAGGACCGGAATGATATTTTTCCTTATGTTGAGTTATTGTGAAAAAATTTGAACTCAGATTCGAAATGTACGGTGAATATCGTATAGGAATTTGTTAAAGAATATTCTGGCACTATCTCAGTTATTCCGTAATTAATTATTTAAATTTCTTTCATTCAAAAATCAATTATTGTCTGATGAAGTACCATCAAA